CCTCCCAGAAAATCCTAAGCGCCGCTAAACAGCTGTTTGGTGGCGCTTAGGACTTTCTGGGAGGGAAGGGGAGGAGTGGAGATGCAGGGCTTCCCTGCTCCTCCCCCTCCCTCCCTCCCAGAAAGTCCTAAGCGCTGTTTGGCGGTGGGTGAAGCGCTGGGAGGGAGGGGGAGGAGGCGGAGAAACAGAACTTGTGCAATGCTCCCTTGTAAAGTCACTGCTCTGCCACAGGATCTTACAAGCAGGCAGCCAAACAACATTATAAGGGAGCATTGCACAACTTTAAACGAGCATGTTCCCTAATTGAGCAGGGACGGATGTAACACTGAAACAACGTTAAGCGGGACGACGTTAAATGAAGAGTTACTGTAGATCACAAAACACACCAGGAGACCTAGAGGAATGCTCTGCCTCAGAGAACCACCTTCTCATTTCATGTTTTGTGATGGGTTAGTGACAGTATTTTTGCTGACATGGGTTTCACGGAAGGCGCAAGTTGAGAGATTTAAAAAGAGAGCAGGGTGCCTAGGGCACAGAGTACAGGGATGGTGTTCCAGGCCACCAGGACAGAACAGGCAAAGGATACTAAAGGAGTGATGAGAACTAGGACTTTTCTTAAGGTTAATAGAATTTCATGCTGTAGGGTACAAACTGATTACCACAAGCATCAGGAAAGACTCCCTCCCCTTCCCCTAGTATATTGTAACATAGGTGCATTTTGCCTTTTTAGCATCAGGTATTTGCTAATTGCTGGAGGCAGGATACCAGATATGGGCTAGTGTTCTGATGCACTATGACATGTCCTATATAAAAGCACAGCCAAAGGAATTAAGAGGCAGTCTGGGTAATGTTTTCCTTTTTTCAATTGCTTTGCTACAGTAAGTTGTTATTTTCTTTGTGGTGGCCACACTTCCCATAGGGAGCAGATTTAGAATACGCTCTTGTTCAGCTAGTCATGCCAAAGAGTTCATTCTTGCATTTAAAATAAAGAGTTTAGCTGCTGATGTGTTGGTATGAGAAATCCATCTGAAATACATGTTTAGGAAATACAGCCAATATCTTCTCACTGTACTTTACTACTAAAGTAAGAGACCATTCCCAAAGGTAGCCTGGATTGTATTTTAAAACTCACAACAACAAAAAATTCAAGAAACTGTTTGTACAGCTTAACAAAAGATATATATTAAGTCTGAATAACTGGGCAGACAAACTCAACAGTTCACTTTTTATTTAAAGACGTTCATCATTATTATTCACAGTTCTACAACACACTACCTTTCAGGACAGGGCGTCAGCCTGTTAAGGGCCCTATTAACTTCAGAGTTCTAAGGCCATGTCTACACTAGCGAACTTACAGCGGCACAGTTGTATCGATGCAGCTGAACCGCTGTACGATGGCATAGAGCGACTACACAAGCAGATGGGAGAGAGCTCTCCCATCGACCTCATAAAACCACCTCAACAAGCAACAGTAGCTCTCTCGCCAACATAGTGCTGTGCACACTATCATTTATGCCAGCGAAACTTATGTCACTCAGGAGTGTGTTTTTTTCACACCCCTTAGCGACATAAGTTTTGCCGACCTAAGTAGTAGTGTAGACACGGCCTAACTTAAAGGTACTCAACAGAGCTATGTAGTAGTAATCAGTACTATCTTTGTTCATCTCGCAATATTCCATAACTGAATAGAAAACAGCAGCTTCCAGCGTACATACTGTTTTGCATGACTGCAGATTTTACACACACACAAACACACACACACACACACACACACACACACCATTGTTGTAGCCATGTCAATCCCAGGATATTAGAGAGACAAGGTAGGTGAGGTAATATCTTTTATTGGCCCAACTTCTGTTGATGAGAGAGACAAGCTTCTGAGCTTACAGAAGTTCTTCTCCAGGTCTGCTTATATAACAACATTACATTAAAAACATTTTCTTGTCAACAAATAGAACTTATGCTTCTTTGTAGCAGTAAGTAACTTCGCTGCTTTAGAATACTTTGATAGCACTGCTAATCTCCAACCCCCATGAACAAAACCACGTCACTGCATCCATGCCCTCAAATTACTAACAATAACTTAAAACCAGTGAAAATACACTCAAGAAACAAGACAAGGTTTCAAGACACGCCTTCAATTCTGAAACTAATTAAAATTTTGGATAACATTTGGACTCTTTTCCATCATCCTATTTGCTACTAAACGTTTTAGAGTTCTCACCTGCACACGGAAATACACGAATTTAGGTCTCAAATAGTCCTTTAGCACTTAGCTTAATTTTAGATTTCCCATTTCTTCCCTGCCTCCTTCCAGTTTCGTGAATGTACACATTTTCAGAAAAAGCATTACTTTTGCAATGATTCACATTAATCTTGTTTTGGTACATCGCTTATCGGCAGCTAACCTGAAAACTAAAATTAATAAGAACATCCAAAGGCAGGACAGACAAGTATGAAAGGTCCCTGCAACATCAAATAAATATTTCCCACAGAAGGCTGCTACTAGCAGGTGATTACTTTTCAAGCTACTCTGTGGTAAAGAAGAACTATGCAACCAAGAATGGACCAGAATGGTAAAAACAATAACCACAGTCCTGAGACTTTTTGCATTTGGCCTTTTCTTTCTGAATGCGTATCAACTGCAAGACTTCACAGAGGCTAATCATACATCAGGCTCCATTCAGAAGTTAAATCATACACAAGTTAAGGAAATCTGACTTTTTCTATGATATAATCTGAAGTCACTGTAAACAAGGATGCTTACACTATGGTCTCTGCATCAAACCAGCATCAGCTGTTGTACAAAAAAAATTCAATTTTTTTCATGATTATATTCGATTTCTATACCTGTCTCAATCCACTGGTCAGTTTCTGGATGAACATGCTGTTCTTCTTCATTGCAGTTATCAGAAACTCCTCAAGTTGTCATTAACTAAGATTTTTGCTTGATGGTGTTTACCTTCCCCTTCAGGAAAGAGAACGAGCCATACCCAACGTTGTTTCAGTCCCTTTCTAGGTTGCTCTTCTCCCCCCCATTCAAGCTGTTCTCAAGAGCAAAAGGAGCAACAAGCCGCACAGTTGAAAAATTGAATTGGTAGATATTTTCCCCCTGCATACAATCTCCATAAAATGAGAAGTAAACCTTGCAGTGGCCCTCATTTCTGTCACCAACATCGCCTCCTCCCCCACTTCAGAAAAAGACAGCTGTTACAACAATGAAGTGCTGGAAACAACCCTGACTAGATGGGGTGCTTTGTGTTATCCCAGATCAGACTGATTATATGCCATATTCTTTGAATAGATCTTATTGTTTACCCTCTGCTCCTTGTGCTCCTTCCGCCCTCTCCACCCCCCACCCCAGTAATCAAATTCTGCCTGCAACTGCCTGTATATCATGTCGACAGCACAAAGCAATGCAAATGTTGCACCTCCTTCCTCTTTCCAAGCTTCCTCCTCCCCCCTCAAATATCTCTCAGGCTATCTACAGCTGGTCTGTTTTGAAGAGGGTATCTTCACATCTCTCACTCCGTCATCAACTCCGCAACACACACACACATACAATAAGTCAGCAACACATCAGCGACTCTCCCCTCACCGTAGTCCCTACAAGGAAGTTTACATCGAATAATTCAACGAACAGCAAACACCCCCCCCCCACACACACACTATTACACACCAAGGGGACAAAAGGAAGTTCTACAGTAATGGTCTCCTTACAATTACAAGACCGCCCCGCCAGACCTCATACCCCCACCCCAGATACACTTACACGCTGCCCCCCACCCCCTGCAATTGCAGGGCCTCAGACCTCCCTCCCTCCCCCCACATCCCAGCGTGTCCCCCCCCCCTTTACCAAAACAGGATTCCCCTTTCTGCCTTGCACAAGTAGAAGCCCCCCCCCTTCTCACCGTCAGCCACGGGAACAGCCCCCCCCCCATCGGCTCCGCGCTCCCCGGAGTGGGGCAGCCCCCTCCCCTGCAGTCCCTATGGCTGCACGGCCAGGGGCGCCTCTGGGTGCCGGGCAGCCATTGCCAACCCCTCCCCCCACGGAGACGAGGCCGGGGCCCAGTCCCAGGCCGACCGAGAAGCCCGTAGCCCCCCCCCCCCGGCCGAACCCCCACCCCCCCGCGCCGCCGGGGCCTCCCCAGCGGGGCCCCCCGGGCCGGGCCTCACCTCAAACCTGCTCTTGGTGACCCCGTTCATCTCCCTCCTCATGGCGGGGCCGGTGGCT